CGGGGAGGGAGGGCCCATCGAAGGACGAGGGGGAGGAGGCGGGGTGGGGGCCTCCGGGGTTGAAGGGCCCCCCGCGAAGGGAGGGGGTGAGGCGGCCGGAGGAGGAGGGGGCGGGAGGTGTACTGTAGGGGGGCTCGGGGGGCGACGTGGTGGGCGGCGGGGGAATGTCCTCCGACCCGGGCACCGACAGGCTACGGCTGAACTTCATGGCTGGGGGCGCTAGATACGGTCTTTCATCTTCTGCAGCTCCTGGGGGGCGGGGCGGGCGCAGAGAAGTGAGAGGAGTCCATCTTGGGGGAGGGGCCTCGCTGCTCCCCGGTCCCTCGTAACCACTGCAGTTAATGACGCTTCTGCTACTACTACTACCAACAACGGCATCCTAACACATCAGGACACCTCCTGACAGCTCGGGTTGTGTTCCAGACGGCCCCCCCCCATCAATGCGGAAGAAAGCAAGGCCCGCGCAGGCTTTGGGGACCCCGGACATAGAAAAATTAAGTTCATACTACACTGTCCTCTAATATTAGGAGCCTGGTGGCATCGTACATAGCGTATTGGCCTTCTAACTCAAAGGTGAGGGGTTCGAACACCCTGCTATTCTGAGGGTGTGTCTTTGGTCAGCTTCTAAATGAATTCCAGCCTTAGAAAGGCAATGGAGGGTTGTATTTGAGCTGGCATCATATCCGGGGTTGAGTGTGTGTGTGTGTGTGTGTGTGTGTGTGTGTTTGTGAGTGTGGGGTGGATTTTATTAGGGGGTGCTGGTGGTGGCCTCATCTAAGACGGTTGCACTGCTAATCCAATGGGCCCCACTCTGGCAGTTTGAAGCCAGCAGCAGCTGGAAAAGACTGGCAAAGTCCTCCTTTGCAATTTACAACCTCAGAAACCCTGAGCTCATCCTGTGGTTCTGACTTGTCAGCAATGAGTGAATGAGAATTTGGTAGGAGCTCTGGTGATGCTCTCTAAAGTACTGAAGAGCAACGATGTCACTCTGGAGACTAAGGTGCACCCAATCCAGGCCATATTCTTTGCAATCACTTGCTATGTGTCAGAGAGCTGGACAATGACTAGGGAGAATAGAAGGAGAGTGCCTTTGAGCCGTGGAACTGGAGAAGAGTATTATTGAATATACCATGGACTGCTAAGAGAACGAACAGGTTCATCCTTGAGAGGGTGAAACCAGGCTGCTCCTTGGAGGCAAGGATGCTTCATCTGACATACTTTGGACATGTCACAAGGAGGGACCAGTCCTTGGAGAGGGACATCATGCTTGGGAGGTGGAGGAACAGCACAAGAGAGGAAGACCCTCGATGAGATGGATTGACTCAGTGACTGGGGTAATGGGGTAGGTGTGTCAGAGACAAGGAGATTGGCACAGGATAGAGGAGGGTTTAGGGCTGTTGTACATAGGGTCGCTATGAGTCACAGGCGACTCGATAGCACGTAACACAACAACTGGTGATGCAATGCATAACATATGGGGCAAAAGGTCAATGGTTTGAATCCACCAGCTGCTGTTGGGGAAAGATGAGGTGGTCTGGGACTCAGGAACCTGATGCGGGTTGCCCTGGGTCAGCTGGGTTTGGGGGGGGGAGGGTTGTCTCCTGAACATACAATCATCACAAGGATGCCCAGGGCAGGGCAGGGCAGGGTTCAGATCTATTGCTCAGATGGGGACATTACGACTCCTTGGCACCTAACAACAACAACAACAACAACAAGCATTTTCAAAATATTTAAAATCCCGCGCGGATTACCAAAATGTGACTCAGAGATGCACCATGAGCTCAAGCTGCTGGAGAAATGGGGCTGATCAATAGAGCTGCCACAAACCTTCAATTTGTACCAAAAAATGTGTCATCTGCAATTCACAATCAAGCCAAGTACAACAAAGCGAGGGGGGACGGCTTTACCGACACTGGCACAGTATTAATAATACTGGCAATCACCGTCTGCCATGAACTTGCCGTGGATTTTTTGAGCGCAGAGCTGCTCCAGCCAGGCCAAGCCCGCACCGCGTGGCTGGAAGGGTTGTGCACCGAACAACAGGCAGGCGGCAGAGACAGCAAACCCGGGGGCCCTTTGTTCCGGTTCTGACTCACAGCGGGCCCAGGTGTGCCAAGAGTAGAGAATTGGGTTCTGTGGGACTTCTCAACGGCTGTAGATTGTCAGGTATGTCTTCCAAGGTTCGTCTGGTGAGCATGAACCTTTAGGTTGGCAGCCTGGGCCGTGTGTACCACCCAGGGATTTCAGAGGGGTCGAGCAAACACACCCCACCACCATGGAAACCCACAGAGACGTGCAGGGCAGAGAAGAACTGCCTGAGGCATTTTGTGGATTTTTACAGAAGCAAATGGCCTCAGTTAGGCCTCACCTCTCTCCTGCAGGGCAGCCCACCTTTCATTTAGCGGTCCAATTTCCTCCCCAAGCCCGGAGAGGGTGTTTTCTTAACTGGAACACATCCCAAACCCATTGATGCCGAGCCATCAGGGTTTCTGATACCATAAATACAACGGGGAGAAGACTGGCTGAACTCGCTGCTTCCTGGGCTCCTGCAGAAGCAGCTGGTGGATTTGAACCACTGACCTTTTTTGGTTAGCAGCCCAGCATTTAGTAACGCCCTTCACCATCATCGTGTCAAATCTTTCCAAAAGTACCCAGGTATTTCTGACCCCTCCACGGTGGCCGCCTGGGTCCACTTATCCCATCTCTCCCACCTGTATAGTTTTCACTTTCTGGGCTCCCAGGTTCGCCTTCAACCACCTTCAGTCCCCGTAGGAACACTAGAGGGCGCCTGCGAAACCAGACATCAGCTCACCTTGCTCCTTGGCTCATGTTAAGTCTTCTGATCTACCTGTTAACCTTCCTCGAGCATCACAACTCGAACCCTCCCCGCTCACCTCCAAGCTCTGAAGCCTGTTCTGTCTTTGACCACATGTCCTGAGTTGTCCTCCCTGCAAACCTGGCCACAGCCATACTGGGACCCTCTTGGTGTTCGTCAGACCTGTCAAGCATCCACTTGATGCTCACAGAGATTTTTGCACAAAAGCTATTATTCCCTGCGTCTTGAATGAATGTCTCCCCTTCAGAGGCTCCTCTGTGAGCTCCAAGTTTTAGCTCAGACTTTTTGCATAACACTCGCAATCTCCCCGTTTCTTCTCATCAGACACTGCTGAGTTGGTTCCGACCCACAGACACACCGTGTACCACAGAGCCAAACACTGCCAGGTCCTGCACCAGTCTGACAATTCCACCATGCTCGAGGCCACTGTTGCCGCCATTGTACCAATCCGCCTCTTTGAGGGTGTTCTGCTCCTTCTTTACCATGCGTGATGTCCTTCTCCAAGGACCTCATGAGGACACGTGCAACATATGTGAGAGAAAGTCTCCCCATCTTTTCCTGCAAGGAACATTTTGGCTACACGCCTTCCAAGACAGATTTGTTTGTTCTTCTGGAAGTCCGTGGTATTATTTATTACTGAATAACACAGCGCCAACACCACAATTAAATGGCATCGATTCTTCTCTGGTCTTTCTTGTTTACTGTCCAGTTTTCATATGCACATGCCGTGGCTATCAGATGTCCTTAAGTCAACTAGGACGCTTAACAAGTCTATGAACAGCAGATCGGAGCCATCCTCACAACTCTGTCACCT